TTGGCAACCTAGTTTAAGTAGTTAGGTGCTCAAGTAGGTAGGTTATCAAATTTTTAAATTCAAACCAAAACAATCCCACAAAGGGTATCCTGTAAATTAGCGCTAAACGCAATCATCACATTAGAATAACCAATTAACTAGAACAAAGATGAAGAGCCAAAGGCTAACCAATTGAAATGTTAAATCAAATGTTGAAACATAAAACCCAGAAAATAAACGTAAATTTTACTACTACTATGGCATTAGCTCATTTTCGCTTCGGGCGGCGTGGTGAACAGCAATAGCAGCAGTAGGAAGGTGGCGGCTAGTCCACTCCTTCACACCCAACAAGTAACAATTGACTGGTCGTGGCAAAGGAGGAAAAGGTCTGGTAAAGGAGGTGCCAAGCGCCATCGCAAAGTTCTTCAAGATAACCACCATTCGTCGTCTGGCTCGCCGTGGCGGTGTCCAACGTATCTACGGTCTGATCTACGAGGTGTGCTGAAGGTGTTCCTGGAAAATGAGGTCCGTGTTGCTGTCACCTACACTAAACACGCCAATCGTAAGTGGCCATGGATGTCCTCTACGGCTCTTTTCAGGGCCATCAAGCTTATATCAGTAAAGAGTTGGAATAGAATTTATCTGTGCCTGTTTTTCCATATTCAGAACCACAAGCCCCCAACGACCACTCAAAATGCTCTCCAGAGTTGTAATCTTGTAACAAAACTTGGAAGCAGGAGTGCAAGTGATTTTGATTGATTCTCTTAATCAACTTTCTCTTACACCTACAATTCAAAAACGGAAAGAGTTGAGATAATAGATAATTGATCAATTAAAAGAACTAAATGCTCTTCACATTTATTCCGTCCACTAGCGGTCCTACGTCAAGCTTCCGTTCGTGCCCCTAGGCACAGACCCTTCTACTTTTTTTAAGGATCAAGTATGTCAGTGACTATGTGACGAACAATTTTGTCAATATCGCACGATAGTCTGTCAATGACAATGACACAATATCTCAGCACTGATGTGATCAGATGCGTTCAACTGAATCTAGCCATCAGTAATGCATAAATGAGCGTAGACTCTAATGGAACATTAGGGTAGTTAGATTTATTTAAGTAAAACGCACGATTTTCAACTTTTTACCTAGTGGACGATTAGTGGAAAATAAATGATCTTTATTATGACTAAAAATGAGCAAAACTTCAAAAAGTTTAGATCATTCATTTAGTTATTTCTCGAGGAAAAGGCGTTTTTCTCAAATAGTTCTTACTTTTAATAAACGCAATCAAATAAGCACAACACTGTACCAATAATTCATAAATTTAGGGTGATACAGCAGCCAGAAATTCAGCAACGTATCTCTTCAAATAGCGTTTTTAAAGCTATTTTTTATCTAAAATTTAAGGTCATCTGTACGCTCAATTGTGAGATACACTGTAATTCAAAAACTGAACTTGAAATAAAGTCCTGTCTGAAGAAGTTCTTTAATTACGTCAAACCCGAATTGAAATCTAACAATATTCCTTCAATCATGCACCTTGACGAAAACGTCGGCGATAGCTCGAAAAAAAAAAAACTGTAACAACTGACAAAATTTAGACGCCCCAATAGGTCATGCATATGTAAATCCAATTAGTTAGTCAGCACCTTGCTGCAGTTTCATAAAAATGTATAAGTTATGAAGCGGTCAAGAGCTTATAATTTATATAAACTGTCCAGGTAAAAAAATGATGCTTAACAAGTGTTGTTCAATCGATTTTAATTCAGCCTTAGTTTGAATAATTGTTGTACATAGACCATGTTAACCTATGTTCAGCTTTTAAACATCTCAATCTGGTGATTTTATTTAGCCAAAAGCTTAGCAGTTATATGAAATTCCAACCCTTGTTCAGTCTTCTAGTTTTATTTAGAAAAAAAAATAATTGAAGACCGCTTCATATCTTATATATTTTTATGGGACTGCAACAAGGTGCTGACTAACTAATTGGATTTACATATGTATATTGTTATTATAAGTATAAAATTACCTTTGCATTTCGGGATTGGAACCGGCAGTCGCTAATTCACAAGCATCAATCATACTTACTGGACCACTTAAGCATATGTGTGGCAAAAGGCATGACCATTAACTTGGAACACGTCAAATTTAAGTTGAATAACAGCAACCGGAAAAGTATTATACAGCAATGCAGAATTTTAAACAACAACTGTTGACAGTAACCTTGTGTTTAGTTTGTATTTTGTACGTGTGTGTTTGTTTTCAAGATGAATAGAAATAATTTCATGCTTTAGAATTAATTAAATAGTTGTATCGTAAACCACATTTCAACCTCCTTCTTCCCTTTTCTTATTCAAAAAATTGTAAATCTCCACTAACCTCGAGACAACCGCGAGTACTCGGTCCAGTTCCTTTAACTTTAAATTTAAGACAGTAATAATGTATAACGCAAAGGATAACTCGGCTCTGTAAAGTTTATTCGATTGAGCCTGTACAAATAAAGTAATTATAAAAAAAAAACTGTTGACAGTAAATCATTCCTCTCATTTTCAAGTGTAGTGAACACAATATGCACACAAGTGCGCGATTTATTTCGATCTTCATGTGGAAGCTGTTTTAGTGCCATAATTTAGCTATATTTTTGGAATTCTGTCTGAAAATTCAGTGCAATATAGCAATTAAAACACAGAAATACAAACGTTAATGCTTCCGATTCCGACGTCATCGCAGCCCACTTCTACCTGAAGCTATTCCTAAAAAAAAAAACTCCTCTACATTGTCTCTACTGCTGCCGCTGCTTGGGATTAGAAAGGTAGGCAGTGAATTTAGAAGAACTAAAATGCCGGAAATGCAACAAGTGACACTGACTACATTTAACAAATCATACTATCAAAATATTTTTAGTGCATTGCTGATTTGTGGAGCAGTGTTAAGCTAAAATAAGGCTTTTTTAATCTTTAGATCAGCTCACTTATTGAGGTTGAATTATAGGGATACAATCAGCTTCACGCACTACCAATCAACTATATATTCAGCCTGCTGTTAATCAGCTTTGTACACCTTAAATTAATTAAAAATCTGCTTCTGATCTTACTGTTCAGCATAAATTGTTACTTGGGATATGTTAAGCTTTTGGCTGATTAAAATCACCAGATTTATTTGATTAAAAGCTGAGCAAAGGTTAACGTGGTCTATGTACAACAATTATTCAAACTAAGGCTGAATGAAACGGAAAAAAAATCGAACCCAATTCAAATCACTTCAGGCGTCTCACAAGGCTCTTATTTCAATTGCATTAGGAAATCAAATTGTAGACAAATGTAAAACTAACCAACTTATATATGCCACTAAAACACAATCATTCAGAGGGCAAATAACATGCTAGGCTTTATCAAGCACTTTTGCTCCAACTTTCTGGACTCATATATATTTCCTATGTGAAGTCAATTCTGGAATATTGCAGTACTGTTTGGTCTCCTTTTACAATCACGCACGGAGAAAGATTAGAATCAGTATGAAAACAGTTTTTATTAAACGCTTTTCGTAAATTAGATTGGGCATCATTTCCTTTTCCACCATATGAAGCACACTGCATGCTTATAAACATACAAACATTAAAAGAGCGTCGGTGCAATTGTTTCATTTGTAAACGACATCGTTTCACAGCGCATTGAATCAACAGAGCTTTTATCCAAATTTCTATGCACCTATATACTCGGCAACTCCGAAATCTAAATTTATTTGCCATTAACCATCATCGCACAAATTATGCAAAATATGGGCACTTAAATCGAATGGCCTTTTACAATCAATACTGCGAAACCATTAACTTTACCATGTCTTGTCATAAACTAAAACAATATTTAAACTCCAGACGGAATCATAACGCATCAGAAGAAAAATGGAACAGCAGAAACTACTTAATTTTTATTTAAGACAAAATTTTACTTTTTACTTTTACTATCAAAGATTTTTTTTATATTTAATAAAAAAAAAACGTATTGGTAAGGTTAAAGTGAACCTAAATGCTTCTAATTTGGGTCCATACATAAATTCAGCAATCGACTAAATTTTCAAAAGCGACCAAACACATCCATTACTGACACGTTCATCTAGATAAAATTGCTAAATAGCAGATTTTTAGCGCTGGGCCCAATCTTAGATCAACTGGCCAACATTAGAACCATTTCCCCTACTAGTCAAAGTTAGTCGACGAAATAAATAAATAGATAAATCGGCCTTTTTATGGGGTGGTTTTTGAAATTTTATTGATCTTGATAATTAAAAAATGGGAATAACAACATTTTCCCGAATCAAACCCCATCACAGCAGAATTCAGTTCAAGGTTGCAATGATGAGATTCGGATCTACCCCGAGTTAGTAACCAGTTTCAATCGAGAGTCGACACACAACATGCGATACCTAAAATTTCATTAGAGCTATAAAACAAGCTTATTGCTGGTCACATTCAGAACCCAGGACCACATTGACCAACACCTGGGAAGTGGCTCAAAATTTGATTTAGTAAGAAAGGCCAGTTCTCACCATAGGTGGATGAATTAAGGTTTTCTTGTACAAAACTGTAGGAGATTGCGTGGAACCTTCCACAACAATTAGTTAAACATACTAAATCTCTTTAGGTGACTTATTCAAAACTAAACTTTATAAGCCCGTTCCTCGTAAAGCGTAGGTCGCCCACGCAAACCAACAGTATTGTCGTGTAGGGAAAATTTTTCTCTTTTCAATTGTTGGTCGAAAATTGCCCAGTTTGACCGGAACCGATCTGGTGATATAGCTTGCTTCAGTGTTCACTCGAATATCAAAAGCACGTTTTGCACCAACTGAAATTTCACTCCATTAATTTTTAGTTCACTCTTCAGCCTTGTCCTAATCGGGTCACCTTTAATTAGGATTTGTCTAGTCCAATAAATTTTAAAACAGTACTCTAAGAAGTCACATTTCTACATGATTAATAACTTCACTCATTTTCCCATTTTTTTATCCGGAACATTTCACTCACATTCTATGAAAGCATCACTCGCCGCCGCAATCCAGCCCACTTGAGCCGTGCCAACTATCAGCATAAGCACACATTTCACGAACATTGTTCTTTGCATTTTTCACTTATTTTCCTTTGACTTTTCACATCAACCAGTAGAGAAACACGTCTTTCGGCCCACTATATTCGTCACTCAACCCAACTCAACAAGGCGCCTTTCCGTTTCGAGCTGCCAGAAGCAAAAAAAGTGCAAACGGAAAGATCCTCCAAACGCGACGGGATCCCGCGAGCAACTGTCGTGAGGAACGGATTTTTTGCTTGGAATTAGAAGATGTTCCTGTGCTTTTCATTCCCCGCTTCCCATTACTCCGCAGGCCACCGCTCGATCGAGAACGATCGCACCTCGTCTGCCCACTTACATGGACTCAGTGTGCGGTAGAAGAGAGTGAGAAAGAGCGAAGGAAAAGAAACCGCAGCGGCTTATGTGTCGCGAATAAAGCTTGCGCTCGCGGAAAATCAATCTGCCTATCACTTTGCTTGAGCGGTTCGTTAGCTTCAACTTTTTTTTTTCACTGGATGAACCCGTCCAAGCGCCACAGTGCTAATGATATCGGATGATCGATTCGGTTGTTGATTGAGTAGTTTAGCACGGATTCAGTTCTTTCTGCCGTTGTGAGATGCACTTTTTTTATTATTGGGTAAGATAACTCTAGCATTATACAGCAATTTCTTGAATTGAACTGGAATTTAATCGAAAATGTAGATTATATTTTTTCTTCGTTGATCTTGTTTTCTGTACTGAGCACCAATGCAACCGATGCCAGGGAGACAGTACCCACACCTGGACCCTACCTATCGCCCCATCAACTCATGGACCGGGGACCAACGGCTTTACTTCCCTTGCAAAGGAACGCGCGATCAGAGATGTTATGCCTCAAAAAACCCCAACGGCGCCGACTGGGATGGAACCCAGGCCCTTTGAGGTGAGAGCCAATCACGCTTACCACTACACCACCGGCACCACTAAATTGTGAAATATAACTTGCTGTTTGATTTTTTAAATTTTTTATGGAATATGAATCGTAATTAGAATCTGACTAGAAATTTTAATTTTTTTAAAGTTTATGTTGACCCTCAACAGCCCAAAATGCTTAATCAAAGTTTAAATTAGATTTTGATCCTTAATGTGTCATTAGAACGAATTTCAACTGGTGAACTACCGATTGACGCCTAATTATCCCATGAGCTTTTAATTGGGGACAGGCCCGGCGTTGTGATTATCATCCATGCCTCTTACGCTACAGGTCACGAGTTCAAATTTCATCCCGGACAATATGTTAAAGTAAATGTGAATCGATCCAAATCAATGAAAAAAAAAACATGTTGCTATCTTGAATAAAGTATTTTTTAGAAGTTGCTTGGCTAGGAGCTCAAAACAACTATACTCGTTTAAATAAACTAGTTTACAGCATATTTGAACTTTGTACGCTGATGGTCATTTCCCATGTGAAATCGAACGCTGAATCCAAAAATTTAGTACAAAAAAAAATCTCAGTAGGATACTTTTGGAGATATAGCTAAAAAAAGAAATCTCAATTAAAAAAAAACGTGTTTACTAAAACACAAATATCTCTGGCTGTAATGATGTAATATTAATTATTTTAACGCCAAATTAAACGTGATAAAATTTGATTTCGGTCGTTGTCACATTATTTTTCAGTGAGAGTAATGGTAGAACCACTATAAACATTTTTATTTTTATTATATTTAGCTGTATCTCGAAAACTATTCTGCTTAGTTTTTTTTGACTACATTGTTGGATTCAGTTCAAGTACATTTTTTTACTTTTATTTTTTTTAGCTAGTGATCAGCGTTAGATTAATTGATGCTCCAATCGATTCAAAGGAAAGGTAAAGGGTGATACGATCAAAATTTGGTCAAGGGAAAACGCGTGTAAATCGGTGAAATCGTTTATTTAAAAAATCAAATTAAATTTCTTTTTCAAGTTCAATTAGTATAAAATTCAGGAAAAATATTCAGTTAGGCTTCCGCTTTTCCAAATCCGAATTGCCGGGCCTTACGCTTGACCCCTGCCATCAGATTTTGTACAGCCACCTTGTCCACCTTCTACGCCGCAGAAAGCCAGTTTGCCTTGAACTGCTGCTCGCCCTTAGCAGTTTTTTTGGTCTTCTTTAGGTTCCGCTTGACAATAGCCCAGTATTTCTCAATTGGGCGGAGCTCTGGCGTGTTGGGAGGGTTCTTGTCCTTGGGAACTACCTGCACGTTGTTGGCGGCGTACCACTCCATGGCCTTTTTACCGTAATGGCAAGATGCCAAATCCGGCCAAAACAGTACGGAACAACCGTGTTTCTTCAGGAAAGGCAGCAGACGTTTATTCAAACACTCTTTCACGTAAATTTCTTGGTTGACAGTCCCGGAAGCTATGAAAATGCTGCTTTTCAAGCCACAGGTACAGATGGCTTGCCAAACCAGATATTTCTTTGCGAACTTTGACAGTTTCATGTGCTTGAAAACATCTGCTACCTTTTCCCTTCCTTTTGCCGTATAAAACTCCTGTCCCGGAAGCTGCTTGTAGTCGGCTTTGACGTAGGTTTCGTCGTCCATTACCACGCAGTCAAACTTCGTCAGCATCGTCGTGTACAGCCTCCGGGATCGCGCTTTGGCCGCTTATTTGCGGCATCTCGGAGAGAGAGGTTAGGGTTTCGCTTGAAACTACCGGCAACTCTCTTTGTCGTCTCAGCGGCTTCCGGTTTTCGATTTCCCCCCGATCCAGACTTCCTGGCTGTCGACAAACGTTCCCCAAACACTTTAATTACATTTGTAACGGTTGATTTGGCAACTTTTAGCGATTTTGCCAACTTTGCGTGCGAGTAGCTCGGATTTTCGCGATGCGCGAGCAAAATTTTGATACGCTGCTCTTCTTGCTTGGACGGCATTTTGACAACTGAAGAGTGAATTCCAAAATCAAAATAGGAGCAACATTCTACACACACACACCTTCAAAATGAGGGGTGTTCAGGTTTTTTAAATGCAAAATTGAAAGAAATACGTCAAGTTGATATTGACCAAATTTTGACCGTATCACCCTTTAACTGATTTCTTTTTATTTAAGAAGGTGACTGTTCTGGATTTTTATGCTAACCAATATCATGTTTAAGGATTCATTTCCTCCAAATTTTATTCTATACCAGTGCTTTGGGTTAAATATTCTTACTAGAGTTTACCTCCGATCACAACTTCGAAGTCTTTGAAATTTGACATGTGATAACGTGCAAGATGCGCCATACTTTGGAACTTGCGGTACTCCAGCTCAACGCTACAACACATTATTAACCGGGACTAAACTGGGCGGTGTAGCTTTAACAATGTTGTCGAATCAATAATAGCAAACTGAAGAGAAGACTGCCGAAACATCTTTAATACACCGATAATGGAAACGCTCCACCAACCCACTGGCATCAAGCGATAGAATAAGCGGTTCCTAAGATGGTAGCCCTATAAAAATTACAACCATCTTAGAAAGCAACAAAAAAGACAATGAACTGACATCTAGGATTAGTTTTTCGTTTTGTGCATGAAAAATAAAATTGGTGAGTCAACGACTATAACTTAATATAATTTCAAACGTCAAGAGAGTAATAATCATAAAAATACAGATATTTCATTACATCTTTTCCGCAGCTTTCTTCTACTTCTTCTCCAATGTTGCCATTGCCTTTTCAAGTGCTTCCAACTTTCAACTTTCCTCTTATTCCTCCTCTTCCTCTCTCGCTCAACCTTTTTCTTTTGTCGTTCCTGAATCCTTTGTTTCTTAGCGTTCTCTTTATCAATTTTCTCCCGCTCTACTTTCATGTATATTTCTGGCCATTTCTCGCTGGTGGCTACTGCTGGGAATGCTCTCTTGCCCATTTCTGTTTGCTCTCTGTAATTTGTATATGCGTGTTGGTGATATCCTGTAGGGGAGCTGCGTTGTTTTCCTTTTCGGCTGGTTCTTGACGCTCTTCATCAAAAGATATTAATAATATAACATTTACAATACGAATAAAATAAGAGAGTAGCGATTCAATACGGCATCTCTTATGGTGGTGAATGGAACGGCATAATCCCTGGATGCTTCTCGGTAATATTTCCCCGCACGCATCATTGCCACAGTCTTCTCCAAATCCTCCGGCGTGTATTTAGCCTCCATGATCTGCTGAAAAGCATTGGATAAAGTAGAATCGTCATTGTTAATGCGCAAGTGTACGGATTTAGAATCAGCTGTTATATATGGATCGAAATCCGTACAGTACTAATTTTGATAAATAAATACCATAGGGTTTTTGATCTAATTTCCGTCCTACTACGCACAACCCGCTTTACCTCTCTTTTCTGAACGAATTTAAACAAAAAATGGAATATCTCTGTCAAAGATGACTTCTAAATTCATTCACCTTTCCATACGTACCGTTGGATTTGATAAAGAATCACAAATTGATGAGATATTGTCTAAAATCTAACACTGCTTCTTGATTCTAAATTCGTTCTACGAGTTTCAATTCCGTCCTAACGCATTGAAACGCCATTAGATTTTCTTCGTCCTACGGATAAACGTAGAAAAAGGGGATTCGCTAGTAGCGCTTCTTTTGTTTTGAGAACAATGAGCGTAAATATTCATACAATGCGCTCTAACAGGGTTTATGTTGTAGCTAATGAACTAGCGCATCGGAACAAACCTATTATTGATTTGTGCACGGTGAAATCATTGATATTATTGATCTTTTCTGATCGATAGAACGGAAATGGGCGATTACGACGAAGTAGCGCTCTACCCTATGAATGATCCATTGCTTCGAATTGAGATATAAAATGCTAAACACTTACCTTTCCGATCGACCTTCAGGAAATTATTTGCAAAAATCACTTAAATACGCGTAACAACTGGAAGTAAACGTCAAGCTACACACTACTAAAAAGTCATGTAAATTTCGGTTCCCTGTGACCGACACTTGTAAGCGGTCCTTTTGACATAAGAATCAGTTGAAAGAAACGTGAAAATCAATTCAATCAAACGTTCTCTTAGTAGACTAGCTGATGTTTCGGTTTGAAAACACTTAATTTTACATGAAATGTTTGTTTACGTTCTATGATTTACGTCTAATATGGATTACGTCTCGTGTAAAAGTAGTTATTTCTAAGTGTGTAATGCATGAATTAACATGAATATGTATTCATGTATAG